CTTGAAAAAGACTGGGTTATAGAAGAAATGAAAACTGAAGTTAAAAAAATTCCTTGAATCAAACAAGAATGAAAACACAACATACCACAATCTTTGGGACACAGCAAAAGCAGTGATCAGAGGCCAAATTATACCAATAAATGCACACATCAAAAAAGAAGAAAGAGCCAAAATCAACACATTAACCCAACATCCAAAAATTAGGAAAAAAAGCAGCTAAGAAAGCCTACAGTCACCAGAAGAAAAGAAATAATAAAGGTTTGAGCAGAAATAAATGAAACATAAAATAGAAAGACAACAGAGAACATCAGCAAGACTAGAGAAGTCGGGTTTTTGAAAGGATTAATAAAATCAACGAACCACTGGCAAATTTAACAAAGGAAAAGAGGGAGAGAATACAAATAACACAAATAAGAAACCAACTGAGTGCCAGCACAATAGAAACAAAAGAAATTAAAAGGATAATATCAGGATACTATGAAGAACTATATTCCAACAAATTCGAAAATCCAGAAGAAATGGACAGGTTTCTAGAAACATACTACTTCACTAAACTAACACAGACTGAGGTGGAAAATGTGAACAGACCCATTAAAAATGAAGACATTAAACAGGTCATAAAAAAATTATCAACAAAAAAAATACCTGGCCCAGAAGGTTTCACTGTAGAATTCTACAGATAGATGTTCAGAGAAGAACTGACACGAATCCTACTCAACCTATTCTAGACCATGGCAAGGGATGGAATCCTCCCCAACTCATTTTCTGAACCAAGCACAACCTTGATACCAAAACCAGGCAAAGATATCACTCAAAAGGAAAACTACAGACCAATATCACTCATGAATATAGATACAAAAATCTTCAATAAAATCCTAGCTAATAGACTCCTACAACATATAAAAAAAAATAATACATTATGACCAAGTGGGGTTCATACCAGGTATGCAAGGATGGTTCAACATTAGGAAAACAGTCAACATCATCCATCACATAAATAAAACAAACAAAAAGAACCACATGATCATATCAATTGATGCAGAAAAGGCATGTGATAATATCCAACACTCATTCCTGATCAAAACTCTCAGCAAAATAGGAATCGAAGGGAAATTCCTCAACATAATGAAGGGCATATATGCAAAACCAACAGCCAAATGACTCTCAACGGAGAGAGACTGAAACCATTCCCCTTGCCAACAGGAACCAGACAAGGATGCCCTCTATCACCACTTCTATTCAACACTGTATTAGTAGTCCTAGCCAGGGCAATAAGCCAAGAAAGGGAAAACAAAGGCATTCAAATTCATAAGAAAGAAGTAACACTCTATTTGCTGATATGATACTATACATAGAAAACCCAAGAGACTCAGCAAAAAAACTACTGGAACTAATTGACAGATGTAGCATAGTGGTGAGATACAAGATCAACATACAAAAATCAGCTGGATTCCTCTACAGCAGCAAAAATTCTGTTGATAAGGAAATCAATACCATTTACAACATCTACCAAAGAAATAAAATACTTGGGAATAAATCTCACTAGGGACACAGAACCTGTATCTTCTATAAATGGAAGAACATCCCATGCTCGTGGATAGGAAGATTGAACACTGTGAAAATGTCAATACTACCCAAAGCAATCTAGACATTCAATGCAATCCCAATCCAGATCCCACCAACATTCTTTAAGGATATGGAAAAAACAATCACTAACTTTATATGGAAAGGAAAGAGACCTCAGAAAAGCAAAGCACTACTGAAGAAGAAGAACAAAGTAGATCTCACACTCCCGGATCTCAAAACCTATTATATAGCTAAAGTAGTCAACACAGCCTGGTATTAGTACAATGGCAGACACAAAGACCAGTGGAACAGAACTGAGAACCAAGAAAAAGATCCACTGACCTATGGCCAGCTGATTTTTGACAGAAGGCTGAAATCCATTACATGGAGAAAAGATGGTCTTTTTAACAAATGGTGTTGGCAAAACTGGATATCCATTTGTAGAAAAATGAAACGAGATCCATACCTCACATCATATACAAACACTCACTCCAGATGGATCAAAGACTTAAATGTGAAACCTAGAACTATAAAGTTCCTCAAGGAAAATACAGGGGCAAATTTGTTATTGTTGTTATGTGCTTTCAAGTTGGCTCCAACTCATAGTGACC